TAGATATATTTGTCGGTAAAACCTGGACAAATCCCAAACCCCCAAAAAACAATTGCCATTTATAAAAAATTAAATCAAAAAAATAATTATATATATAACTATAAACATATTTACCATATTATTTAAATAAAGATTAATTATAAAGTTTTTGAGTTATTAGTTTGGCCATAATTTTGGATTTGGGAAGTATAGCTGTAAAATACTTTTGTGATGATTTGATTTGGCGAGAGATATACAAGGTGCAATCGAGAGAAAGGAAGACCCTAGAAAATTTTTAAATCTTTAAATGATCAGGATAGGTTGACAGGTGAAGAGTAAAATTCTAAAAAGTGGTTTAAGTATTGTATAGCTTGCTAATCTTACGAAAGAATAGGTAAAAAAGCAATCAATTCATGCAAATTTTTAGTCAGGCATTTTGCCAATTATTGCAAATAAGTGACATAGAAGATTCTATAATTTTTGTAAAACTATACCTTAATTATACACATTCAAATTTAGACTAATTTTATTGCCAATTTACACGATCATGTTAAAAAAAAAAGAATCATGCCCGAGCTCATCGGACTTTTTCTTTATTTCATAAAAAATCATTGCCAGAACGACAACAAAATAAAAAAAAAATACATTGCTGTTAGGTTATACAAATTTAATTACAGCTATTATCATAATTTCTGGGACACCTGCTCATTACCCGAAGATTTCGGGTAATGAGCAGGTGTCCCAGAAATTATGATAATAGCTGTAAAAGAAAAAAGCCGGCCGGGTCATTTTTAAACTTTAATATGGCCTTATATTATATAAATAAAAAATTAAATCAGAATAATATATTAGTGACATTGATAGCCTTTAGTTGCAGAAGTTTTGACTGTGTAATTGGATTATATCCATCAGGATACTTCCATAATACCGCAGCGCTAAACTACGTATTGGTGACTGATTTTTTATTGATAAATTTCTCGTCACTTAAAAATCTCAACTTATTTATATCTCTTACTACATCGGTATGTATCTATTTTTTTGAAGACCTACTTCAGTTTAATAAAATGAGACTTAATCCTCGAATATTTATATCGTGCAAAGTTTACTTGCTATTTTCAAATGTGTTAGGTTGTTAGGATAGTTGGTCTTAGGGGCATTATTATCTTTAGTCTTGAATCAGTATTGCCCATTTTACGTTCCTAAATAAAAAAAAATATATAGCAAGAATTCGGTTTTCTTAGCATCTGTTAAATGGTACATTACTTTTAAAAAATACGGAGAAAGTGAACCAAGCAAAAATATATATGATTAAAAAAATAACGTTATTGCTAGCTTATCTTATGGGTAGGAACTTGCTTATTTTTATACTTCACTTTCATTAGATCTAGAAAATCTGCAGAAGGAAAATTACAAACAATGCCAGATCCTGCTTATCAAAGGAACTCCGTTCGGTTATAGCGCCAAATAGTGAATGTATTTAGTCACTTTTCTGGTGAAATGAAACTCCCTTAGATTTGACGATCTACCCTGCGTCGTAATAAATGTCAATGATCTTGAAGATTTCGGAGATGGCGGAGCTTCCAAGTCCTAGTAATATATGAAATTTTCATTTTTAAGACTTTGAACTTAAAATTTATATTTTATAAAGATCCGTGCTTTATAGATTGTTTACGGAATAATATAATTTATATTGTCTTCGAATAATGGTCGGATAATTAGTTTCATTGATGTTTAACCATTTAGGCCGTTTAAAGTTGATTAGTTGTTTAACGTCGGTATTTGGAGCCAGGCTCGAGGGGAGGGGTTTAAACAAACACTTACAACACAGCATATTTGATTAACCCTCAGTGGTCAACTTTAATCACATGATTACTGAATATTATCCTGCGTTGTGATTGACTTGTTTAATTTCTGGAGGGACAACCAACCGAGAGGGGGGATGACGTTAAACAATATTCAACTTTAAACGGCCTTAGGTAAACATAACTTTCGCATGACAAAGAATCATAAGATTAATTCTAATTGATAACAAAATTAATTGTGTCTAATGTCTACAATTCCTCGATTTATACAGTTTTTCATTAATTTGAATCAATTCCTATTTTTTTTATTTTTGTTATTCTTTTCACAGAAAATTGAACTTAATTTAGATACTAGCTTTGTGCACGTGTATAAAAAAAAATTAAATATGATGTACGTACACTGTTACGACCAGTGTTGGATGTATAAGTCCAATTCTAATTACCGTAAAATGTGGAAAATAAGCACAGCACCCTCTATCTTACTTTTTTCAATCTCAGATTGGTGGAGATAACATAAGTAAAGATTTTATTGCCATCTCCACTAATCTGAGATTGAAAAAGTAGGGTAGAGGGTACTGTGCTTATTTTCCACATTTACGGGACTTATATAAGAGTGACCAACACTAGTTACGACTGCGTGGGAGAGCAATACGCATACACACGTAATTTAGCTCCAATCATAACTTAGGATCAGTTATTAACTAATAGTTCATATTCAAATACCGAGGAGAATACATGAAATCCTCCTTATGAGCTACTGTGCTCTATCCCCTACATCTTTACTATTACTTTGTACTCACACAATGTTATACATATCACTATCTTGCGCATGGGTTGTAAATACCTGGAACAACACAATACACAACGATTGTGCCTGATTAAACAACCGTTGTTCACATTTACCGGTTCATTCCTTCAATGTACTTATAATATTGCTCACACAATTTACTCACAGTAATCAGTATCTACCTAGTATAATTACGGTTAGAGGTCGGAAATTAAAAAACCGAATTGGATTGAATTTACTAAAACCGGTTTACTATTAAAAAACCGGTTAATTTAAAGTTGAAATAAACAAACAAATAATATCGATATAAAAAGGAAAAAATAATAAATATCCAAGCCCCAAATTTCATGCCACGGGGAACCGTGACAGTATAACGTTAAGAAAAAAGAATTTGGGATACTATAGTAATCCGAAAACGATTTCTGATTTACGCCGAGATCAAAAGAGTTAAGGCCACAAAATTTTGCAAAATGCAATAAATTATTATTAATCGATGCATGCTATGTTTCAATTCCATCGATTGAAAAATGGTCAACAAATTGATATTGGTGATGATAAAATATAAAACGAGCAGAAGTCATGTACTTTCTTGTAATACTTATGGATTCATAAGCCATAATTTCCCGATTCGTAAAGCTTTTGATCGAATACTTGAAACTTAATAACTTAAGAGAAATAAAAGAGTTTTAAAAGGCTGAAACTATTGCGAATGTTTAATGATATTACAAAATCCAGAACTCTACTGCAAATGGACACCAATCAGAATATCAAGGTCGTAATATTAAAAAATTCATAGTTCATAATATTTAAAAAAATATTTCTAGCATAAATATTTAAAAACGTTTAACCCATAATAGAACCTTCAATTCATAATATTTGTTATTTGCTACGTAGACTCAACCGTGTTCTGAAACATGTATGATACGTACGTACGTACGTAATTAAATTTACTCACGTATCATTGGGGCAGGGCCCCCGGACGTTGATAGCAAAAATAATTAGCAAAAAAATAGCTAGTGAAATTAGCAAATTTAGCAAAATAGCTTATTATAAATTTATATTTATTAAGTATAAATTTTAATGTAATCATATTTTTTTTCTGCGAGTTCTTCGTCTATTATTTCAGTTATCATTAAAATATGCACATAATTACTCATTTATGTAAATCAGTTCAAGAACAAAGGTAATAATCACATGTTTAGTGCAAAGTAGCAAATTTCGCATCTTAGTACAAGACAATTGCTGCTAACTATTTTACTACGTATAAATAACACTATTTTAGATGCTACGTCAAAAATCCGAGGACTCTGCCGATGCACTATGTAAATCAAGTCTATTATGTAGTCCTATGTGAAAATCAATTATGTAATTAAGATTTCTTGTGTAAATATTCATAAACTACTGCGGCAAAAGTATTGTTTCGATAAATTTCAGTCTTTTTATTATGAAAAAAAAGCTCTCTATTACATTAAAATATGTTATCCACTAAACTCTCACACGAAATTTCTAAATAGATTAATATATAGAATGTCGAGAAAATATATGGCAATTTTCTATAAAAAATTGCTAACTTCAGATTGTATCACCTTGACATTCCACGTATTAATCTATTTGGAAATTTCGCGTGAAAGCATAATGAATACGTAACAAATTTTAATGAAATAATGAAAAAATAATAAATTTTTCTCGAAATTATACTGTTGCCGCAGTATTATTATTATTAACGTGAATGTAATAATTCATAATTTTTCAGGTTATGAAAAAAACTCTCATTAAAATTTGTCATCCATTATGTTTTCACGCGGGGAGATGCATGAAAAATTGCCATATATTTTCTCGATATTCTATATATTAATCTATTTAGAAATTTCGCGTGAAAGCATAATGGGTAACATATTTTAATTTAATAGAAAGCTTTTTTCATAGCCCGAGAATAAAAAACTGAAATAGGACGACCAACATACTTGATATATTTCTTTTAACGTTAAAAAAAAATTGCATTTCAATAAAAAATATCAATTGAATTAATTTTCTATACTTTTATTTCATTTTATTATTATTTTGTTTTTTCAAAAAAAAAAAAAAAGTTACAAATCAAATATAATATATAAAATATTTAACATAACACCATATCGCGAATAAACAATAATGTTTTGTAAATGCAGATTGTTATTTGCAATATAGTAAAAAGAGTTTGATCATAATCTAACTCGTAATAATCAAAAAAAAAAAAAACAATTTTTCAACCCTAAAAAAATCACATTTAAAGAATTATAGTAAAATTACTAGAAACTAGCATTCATACGTAAAGGAAATAAATTTACAATAATTAAATGAAAAGCATATACTATATACTTTTTTCTAAATAGAAAGAAATAAATACAACGATGTTAATAAAACAAATTATAAATTACCTAAATATTGAAAAATGCTTAAAAGTAAACACCAGGTTTTAATTTTTGATTGGATTGTTTACTGCCCCGATCACGAAATGACGGATTAGGGCTAACACTTCTTGCCCTATTAGCATTAGAATAATATTCGGAAGGATTTATACGTAATAGTTGCTGTGACTTTTTTGAGGTCAATTTAGCAACATCACTGGGTGGAAATACCCTTGGTTGTTGTGGTGGAAAGGGTGGGACCCTATCGTTTTTTATCCTATCATTATACCTATCGTTGTACCTATCATTATTTCTATTATTATTATATCTATTATTATTATATCTATCATTATGCATTCTTGGATCATAATTACTTTGAGGTCTATCATTATAAAATCGTGGATCATAATTGTTTGGAGTCCTATCATTATACATTCTCGGATCATGTTTTTTTGGAACAGATGGAACAGGTGGAGGGCCAAATTTTCTCTGATCATCATAATTATTAAATCTATTTGATGGATTATTAACATTATGACTTCTATTCATGAGATTCATAGATGATGCGGGTGGACCTGGTACTAACAAATCATCAGCCTTATCATAAACTCTCGGTTGTCTACCTCTGTTATTATCATTTGAGGGAAAAGGTCTTAAATTATTTGGTAAAGGATTTTTGTAACTTTCTGTAGGATGTCTATTAATGGGTGGGTTATTTTTATGAGAGGAAATAGGATTTTTTGTAGTTTCCCTTTCTGATAAAGTAGGTTTAGAATCATATAACCAATCAGGAATATCACCATTCTTCTGTTGATGATATTCACGTAATATACGAGAAATATGAGTTTCACCTTCCCAATCATCTTTTTCAGACTCTAATTTGTAAGTTTGATTTTAGTAAAGAATTCTCATAGCATATAGACAACTTTGAAAATCAGAAAAACAAATACCATTATCAGAATTATCTTCAAGAGAACTATAAGCCGATGATGCAGCACTTAATAGTTTATCCCACAGTTTTCCACTAGGAGTAGATTGGGTCGGTGAAACAGAGTCGTCTAAAAAAAAGATAAAAGCATTGCTTAGCATTGCTTAGCATGAGAGGAAGAAAACGTGGTAATTAAGATAATTATCAAAATGAAAATTTTACCTTGAGCTATTTCTCTCCAGTTATTTACAGTCTTAAGTTTGCTCCACAAACTAGCAGACTGTTCTTTATTATTTGGTTTATTATTGTCATTACTCTGCTTATTGGGGTGCGAAAGATATGAAGGAGTATTTTTTGCATCAGATATTATACATTTGTGACGAGAAGGGTAGAGACCAACGTCAGAACCACAGTCCTTACAAAGGACTACAAGTCGAGAAACTCGATAGTCTACAACTTCTGCTACCATTTGCTTCGTCTAATAAACGTTGTAAAGTTGGTTTATAATAAGAATTTTGATTAACCAGGCGAGTTATTTTAATGCAAAAAGAGAGTACTAAGTATTGAAACATAAAAAATAGTCTTTGTTAAGAATGAAACATCGAGAATTTATTATATAAATAAAACAATTACCCTTTAGATCTTTATTAATCAAACATGTAACATCAAAGTTCCAATTTCGAATAATTTCTAGTTCAAATTGAGTAATGATTGGCCGATCTATTACAGAGCTTTGATTGGTATACAAACAAAATAATTATTGTGTGAAAAATTTACTGTAAATATCAGTATTGTTTCATTATACATATATACCGGTAAATATATATATATATCAAATTAGGCTAATTCTCAGCTTTACCAAAAAAAGTGTAACTAGGGGATCGCAGTTTGTAACTAATTTCGATTTTTGCATTTCGGTTTTAGAGATTTTTATAGAAGTATTTTATGATATTATTTGTAATAAATATCAAAATCCATCTAAATCTAGATTTTTTTTTCATTTTTTTTACGTAATTATAGACAAGTCTTATCATTTGAATGCCGCCAAAAAAAAAACCAGTAAATACCGCAATCAATTATATAAAGGAATATCTAACGTTAAATTGATTCTCGAAGTTATCACATACCATAAACTGTGTAGTGTTTTTATGATCCTTCACATTTTTCCTTTGACAATTCATATATGTGACCTATTTAGTTTAGTGATTTAAACATGTGACTAGATTTGCTCAATCAACGGAACCCTTAGATCTTAGAATAGACCGGGGTTTACAGATTTATCTTAGACCCTTTTCACATGGTTTTGTGCTAAAAAATGTACATGAAGGTCCACACTAAATTTGTAAACCCCGGGTCTAACCTTAAAATTGCCCAATCAACTGTCCTCTAGCCAGGTGAAAGATTTTGTTGTACGTACGTACGTACGTACGTACATAGCACGGTTTACTAGGGTGTACAACATCGGTATAATTACAAACATAGTGCAGGTGATATAGTGATGATCACTAATCGAGATTTTTTATAATAAAAAATTTTTTGA